TGGTTCATGGATTGAGATTTTAGGTGTTCAAGTATCAGCTCGCTTTTTTGCCTCTGATAAAATAATTTTGGCTCAATTGATTTTTCATTCATCCTGTTTTGGGTGTGGGGGATATTTTATGGAAACATAACAGGAATGAATCTGCTTATTTGGTTGTCTATTGGTTTTCTGTTGATTTCCTTTGTGCTCTGTGATGGAAGGTAAATAGCTAACGCAAAATGCTTGTAGCTTTTAAGCTCTGCCTGGTAGAAGAAGAGTACATGTGGCGTGGCTACATCCCATGAAGATAATTTGAAAAATAAGATTTTGAAAAGTTAACCAATATGTAATTGAAAACTTTGATAACAAATGATCACTTCTGTAGGAAGTATGAACTCATTATCAATTTTGAACGTATTATTGGCAGCTAACCATCTACTAATTCAGTTCTGGAGTTGATCCATTTTTTCCTTTTTAGCAAAAGCATTCTTACCGTTACATGGTTATTAACAGTTTTAATGGGTTTTCTCGAAGTACATGAAAAGAATTTTAAAATATTACTGTTTTATACTTTAAAAAGGTGAATCTTTACGATTTTTCTTTTGCTTTGTGTTATCAACTTGGCTTTTAATATTATCATTCACAAATTTACTTCATGGTTCTCCATAAAACCCTATTTTATATTTTTAAACATGAAACTTGTGCCTTTTCTCACTCTTGTATCCTTAGTTAATGAATTAATGTCTTTTAGGATCGTTCTGAGATCATATAATCTAGGTGATATTCTGAATACGATACTTTATGAGCTAATGTTTCTTGAATGGATAGATAAGATTTATTTGTTTATTGTGGGAGCTAGGGAGGGGGCTGGGGAGCTAGGGAGGGGGCTGGGGAGCTGGGGAGGGGGCTGGTGGGATGGGGAGGAGTTGGGGAGCTGGGGAGCTGGGGAGGGGGGCTAGGGAGCTGGGGAGTGGGATGGGGGGCTGAGGAGGGGGCTGGTGGGCTGGGGAGGGGGCTGGGGAGGGGCTGGTGGGATGGGGAGGGGGCTGGTGGGATGGAGAGGGGGATGGGGAGTTGGGGAGGGGGCTGGGGAGTTGGGGAGGGGGCTGGTGGGTTGGGGAGGGGGCTGGGGAGTTGGGGAGGGGGCTGGTGGGATGGGGAGGGGGCTGGGGAGCTGGGGAGGGGGCTGGTGGGATGGGGAGGGGGATGGGGAGATGGGGAGGGGGCAGGGGAGGGGGCTGGGGGGCTGGGGAGTGGGATGGGGAGCTGAGGAGGGGGCTAGTGGGTTGGGGAGGGGGCTGGGGAGCTGGGGAGGGGGCTGGTGGGATGGGGAGGGGGCTGGGGAGCTGGGGATGGGGCTGGTGGGATGGGGAGGGGGCTGGGGAGCTGGGGAGGGGGCTGGTGGGATGGGGAGGGGGCTGGGGAGTTACACATTTTCAGATTGTTATTCCAAAAGGGTCACTTTAATGATGCAAGAGAAATATTGCAAAGTTGATACTTGATGTAACTCCTTGGCTAAGAGGAACTAGCGGGTAATGCATTCTTTGCTACAAGTGTTTCCTTAGATGGATAAGTTGTTAGAGTAAGATTTTCTTTTAGATGTTAGAGTAAGAAGTGTACACTGTAGTAAATATTTTTTTATGTATTATTTTTTTAAAAAAAATTATTGTTTGTCTTTTATCCTTTTTTATGTATACAGGAATCATTGGCAGCTCTTTATTCTCTCTCCTATCCAAAACACTATTGTCTTCTTGTGTTTTTTGGGGAATAAGCCAAATGGACAATTTAAAAATATTATTGATGCGATAAGTATTTTGTACATTCCGTTTTAATATCTTAATTACATAAATAAATTATATATATATATATATATATATATATATATATATAATATTATAAATTACATAGTGCAATGGAGGCAAGCCGTAGACTCAACTCAAGAAAGGGAAGAGTGAAATGGATTATTCCTATGGTAAATACTTACTACTTTACTTTGTATGTTATTTTTACTTTCATTTGTGTAGCACCAAGTCGAATACCGTAATTTCTGATTAGTAAGTATGTTGTTCTAATTTGTAGTCTCGGATGCAAGTTGGGAGTTATGAATGTGGTTATTATGTAATGTTGCATATGTTGAATATTGTTTCGGCGGTAATTCTTGAAATGTGGGATGAGGTACATTATTATTTTATTTACATTCAATAGGTTTGCTCCACATGTAATGTTTTTTAATAACCTTCTTATTTAATTTGTAGCGATTCGCCAATCCGGAACCATTCTCATCAGAAGAGATTGATGAAGTACGGACTCATTGGGCATCATATTTCTTAGAAATGACGCAATCCATCAACGACACATGATGAACGTGTTTGTTTAAGTTTTTGAGTGATGATGTTAAACAAGTACAATGTGTTATTACTCTAAACTTGTGCAAGAATTATTTTATTTTAGCTTGTTATTATGTACTAAGTTGTTACTTGAACTTGTTTAACATTTGTGGAAGAATTGAAAAATAGTTTGTGTTATTGTTTTAGATGTATCAGTGAACAAGTGAAAAATTGTGCTATAGTAATTGATGATATTGTTAATGATGTGATTATAGTATAAACATGGGTCATATTGCAAAAAATTTTCATGAAAAATACCGAAAAATTGAAGCTTTTCACATCAGTTGTGAAATAACTGATGTGATTGCTTTTCTACATGGGTTATAACCGATGTGAAACACATATGTTCCGAAAAAAATGAAGCTTTTCACACCAGTTGTGAAATAACCGATGTGATTTCTTTTTTACATGGGTTATAACCGATGTGAAACACATATGTCCAAAAAAACAACGAAGCTTTTCAGATCAGTTGTGAAATAGCCGCTGTGATTTCTTTTTTACATGGGTTATAACCGATGTGAAAAACCAATGCTCCGTGAAAAATTAAAGCTTTTCTACATCAGTTATAAAGTAACCGATGTGGTTTCTTTTTTACATGGGTTATAACCGATGTGAAATATCATTAAAAACGCCGTTTCGGACTATCTTCTAGATCGGGCACTAAACGACCGATGTAGAAAGAATTTTCACATCGGCTGTTTGACCGATGTCAAAGGTCAATACTTTTCACATGTGCTGGAACCACATCAGTTGTTTGACCGATGTGAAAAGCCTTTTTTGACCGATGTGAAAAGCCTTTTTTGTACTAGTGTCAAGCTCGAACGAGCTCAAATTTTAATGCTCGAGTTCGGCTCGATTTATTTACCTAGCTTGAAATCGGCTCGAGCTCGACTCGAAGTTACAATAATATGCATGAAGCAAAATTTAGGTTCAAGGGGGATTCGAACCTGGGTTGCAATGTTAACTACTTAAGGAGAACTCCATTCAACTACAAACTCATTTGTGAAAACTTTGAACTTAAATAATTATTATACCTTACACACACACAGACACACACACACCAAGGCTTGCGAGCATGCTCGCGAGCCACGAACCTAAAATAAATTGGTTTGAATTGGGCTTGTTAAATAGTCGAGCCGAGCCGAACTCGAGTCGAGTTTGAATATGACTGAACTCGAGTCGAGTTTTTATCGAGCGAGTCCCGAGCGGCTCGCGAACGACTTAGCTCATTTACACCTCTAACGAGCACGTTGGTGCTGCTCTGCACATTTGCCGAGGTGTTTGCGGAGTTCCATCAATACGGACGCTCAGATACCATGATGTAATTTAGGAATATTAATTAGGGTAAAATCTTTTCCTTGCTCTATTCATACGTGAGTATATGGTATATACAAGTTGATGGCCGAACATCTAAACCCTTAGCCCAAGAAACTACTCCCTCCTTTTTCTAATACTTGGTCCTCTTTCCATTTTGGGATGTTCTCTATTAGTTGTCTCCCTTTCCACTTTTGGTAAGTTTTTTTTCAATAAATATACTCATTTACCCTCATTCTCTTTCCTACTTTTTCATTCTCTTTCCTACTTTTACCTTTACACCTAACCCACTACACATTTTATCCTACCCCTATAAATTCGAACTTAAATCTTGTGCCAAAGTCTATACTCCCATCTTTTAGAGAACGAAGGGAGTATAAAATAAGCTCATGTACAGTAAATAATATACAAGCCGAAAATAGGAGATCTAACATAGGGACATGGCAATCCACATTGAGATGGCAGTGGCGGTTGGATGGCGATGACGACGAGTGGTTGGCGGCGATATTGGATTGTGATTGTGTTTCCGGAAAAAGTCGTTGGAAAATTTTTCGACAATTTGACACGTTTCACGGGCAGGATTGACATCCGTAAGTGATATGAAAGTCTGAGGTGTCACTGATAGGGCGGTTGGTCACTATAGGGCGGCGACGAGTCACTGCCGGTGGTGGTGTATAGTTTCATCGGAAAAGGTTGCTTGAAAATTTCTCGACGCTCACAGTGACATGTATCACAGCAAAAGTAACATTTAAAAGTGACATAAAATCTGGCAATGACACATAACAGTCACATAAAAATCCGGCAATGAAATAAAAAATGATAATGACATCATGTTTTTTTCCAAATATGTGAGCTTCTTAGTCACATGTTTGTGCTTTTTGTAAAAATGATCACATTTTTGAAAATTAACTTCAATATTCAAGGAAAAAGCACTTGAAATATTTAGAACCTATTTGGTAACATTGAAATCGGTTGAATCGTCCAATTCTGCTGAAATTTATGCAGTTTTGGCTGAAGTGGCTGTATTGGTTGGTTCTGCTGACTTATGAAAAAAATTATATTTTAAAAATATATTGTTAATAAAATAAAATATAAATTACTCCGTATATGAATAAAGAGCTAAAATGGTTATCTACAGTAACTTCAATCAATACAGATAGAAAAGTAACTTAAACTTTAATTTTTTTTCTTATGATATAATTCAGCGCGCGAAGTTAAAAGTTATATATTTGGTTAAAAAAATATCTGATAAGCCCGATAAGAGGAAAAAACTGATTCACGATAAAGCTCTTAGTATATGTGTCTTGGTGGCACCTGTCACTACAATCCACTGTTCTCCGGAAGTGAGTCCCACGTGTTCTTCTCTTCCTGCACTCTCCAGTGCCTTATCTTCAAACTAGAGAGCAATCTGATCTACAGGAACCCAAAAGCTTATGCAAAAGATTAGTGCTGTATTTTTTGTAAATGGCATCAACAGGGAATGCTTGTTCCTTGCTTATGACTAAAGGGCAACACCCATTTTCATCTCTCAGACTACCCTCAACTTCTCCAAGAATCCTCTTTTGTAATTCCTTCAAACCCGTATTAGGGATTGAGGGACCGAAACCACGGGCTGTGTATCTAACTTATTCATCTTTGAAGGATTTTAAACACGAATCCGAGGTGGCTGCTGGTAAAGCAGTAGAAGATGAGGTGGGGATAGTGGAACCTCGTCCTCACACGCTCCTCTACTCCTTCCCTCCTTCTCCCTGGCTGCTTTTCGCTGCTCTTCCTGGAGGTGATGTTATAGCATCGATTTATATTCCTTTTTAAATTGGTTAATTGGGAGTTTTGATTATTCCAATTAATCTTTTAATTTCTGTTTGGGTAAATCTCTTTGGATTAAAAAAGAAACAAATGTTACCAGCTAACATAGTATAAAAATAGTTCATCTAAAAATAAATTGTTTTTTTGCAAAGCTTCCTTACGTATCAGGATGTTTTTATGTAATTCATCTCGTACCAGACCTGGGATAGTTATAAAAATACAAAGAAACCAGATCAGTTCAGACCAGACCAGCAAATTACAATTCAAGTAAAAACATCCTTACTAGTATAATACTTCCTGCCCTATTATAATACTTCCTTCGTTCCGTTTTTATTTTGCCAAACACTATTTTTCAAATCAATGATGTCAAACTTTGACGGAATATATATTTTTATATCATAATATTAATAATATGAAAATGATATGAAAATTTACTTTGTTAAAAATACTATCATAAAAATATAAATTTATTAAGTTTCACATCAATATATTAATTAAAATAATGGATCAAAATTTATCATCTTTGATTGAAAAAGTCAAAGATGACTAAATAAAATAGGACGAAGGTAGTGTTTGTTTTTATGTTAAGGCCAACATCCTTGAACTGGGATGAAATTCAAACCTATGACCTCCTCCTTGGGAGTGTCCGATCAGACCAATGAGCGTAGCTCAACTGGTAGATAGGGGGGTGCCACAAGGGATAAGTCTCGGGTTCGAATCTCGACAACTGCGATTAATGCATAGGGTCTCTGCAAGTAACAGGGTCAGAGTCCCACTCCCTATATGTCAGCTTGTGATTAAAGCCCAATTTACATCCTCCCATTTAACTGTCCGGTCGGTGTTGGGGGCCCTCAGAGATGGGGTGTCATCCTTTTTCCCAATCAGACCACAAGGTATTTGACCTTGAAAATAAATTGTTAAGAATTAATTACTCCTCCATCTTCAAATTTATAGACACACAAAGTATTATTTCTACATTAAATAAGCTGCAAAATAAATGATTTTTTAAATTGAGTAGTCCAAATTACGAGCACGTTTGGTAACAATAAAATTGGTTGAATTAGTTGATTCTATTGAAATTTATGAAGTTCTGGTAAAAGTGGCTGTATTGTCTGATTTTGCTGATTAATGAAAAAATGTATTTAAAATATTTATAATTAATAAATAAAATAAAAAATTATATGATAAAATAACTAAAATGATCCTCTATAGTAACTTCAGCCAATACAGTCAGAAAAGTGACTTCAATCATGCCTTTTCTGCTTATTACACAATTCAGCGCGCGAAATCAAAAGTTACGTGTTTGGTGAAAAAACTGGTTGATAAGACTGATAAGCCGAAAAAATTGGTCACCAAACGGGCTCTACATGTTACAAGCTTGATTAATAGTTGCCCCAAACATGTTATCAATAACCTTCTTGGGTTTGACATTGATATGTTTTGATCGTTTTTAATTGGATTGAAACATTCTTGTCTGGTCTGATCTGATCTACTCTGATATATTTGAACTGGTCGAGTATGGTCTAGTAAATGTCTAGTCTATGTGGACTTTACAACTATAGAAGTATGGTTTGGGTTGGTCCATGTAAAAACATTCTAACTTTGATTTCATGTGTAGATTTATGTCGGTCAATTCCAAACATCTTATTTTACCTTTTCGAGAAATCCTGCTAAAATGGTCTCATATCAAATTTGGTAAAGTTTGTGTGGTTCTAAATCATTCGTACTTTATTCTTATTTTATCAAGAGAGAATTTGACTTTGCACCCCTTGTTGTGGATGGTATTTGACTTTGCACGCGGTTTTCAAAATCATTAATGTATATACTCCAATTCACTATAAAATTGTTTGATTTTGCACGCCCCTTTCACAATTTTTGGACTAATGAGTTGCATACATTGATGATTTTAAAAATGGGGTGAAAAGTCAAATATCACCCAAATAATGAGGTGCAAACTCAAATTCTCCCTATTATCAATTAGTATCGACACTTAAACTCACTTTTCTTAATAAGCGTGCCACCCCTTTCATCCCAGACATCAATAAGTAGTAAAAGATTTGCTTGAAGAGCGTCATATATCCAAGCCAAAGGGTGAGTCTAGAGGATGTAGCATAACATGAGTGTGTCATAGGAGACCAAGGCCACATAATTGAGTAGGATTGTTGGTGCCAGAGAGACAATTAAGAGCAACGCCAAATGTAGGGGTGGACAAACGGGTACGGGAACCACGGGTCGACCGGGTAATATAGGTTCGGGTGGGTTAGGGTCGGGTCCTAATTTTAGAAAACCCAAACGGTTCGGGGCGGGTCCTGAAAAACATAGGATTCCAACGGGTGTTAAAATTTGAAAAAATTGGTACCCGGACCGAATCGTTTTAAAATATTATTTTAATAATCTCTATTATATTTAATACTAGTATAATATAATATATTAACATCACACGAAAGCTCTTCATGTTCTTGTGTCTAGACAAAGACTTCCAATTAAAGAAACTTCTAAGTATATTTAAGTATATTGAAAAGAGTTTCCATTTTTCAAGTCCGTATAATTAAACTCCTAAAATATTTTCCTCAATTCTTTATTCCAAATGCATCAAACTTTCTTTGTTTAATATTTTTATGTAAACAAAGACTCTTACTCAATGAAGTGTGACATATTTATTTAATTATCTTAATTTTACTTACACTTGGAGATTTAATAAGCTTTAAATTGTTTTTATAGACAAATATGTATAGTAACTAGTTTAATTTCTTATAAACTTATGGTGCTATATTTTAATTAGTTTATGAATGATGATTAACATTTTAATTAAGGTGGTTGTGTGTTGTTTAATTTATAGATTTGTGGTTCGATATGGAACCGGCGGTTCTTGAACCGGACCGTGCCCACCCCTAGCCAAGTGTCGTCTATCAGCTGCTGCGTGGGCACGTGGTACTCTGAAGTCACACATGGCAATAACCGTTTTAAATTTAAAATCGAGAAAAGGTACAAATAAGCCCTCGAACTAAGCGAAAAAGTGTAAACCACCCCTTTTATAGGAGGTTCTGTCCGGCCGTCACAATTTGGGGTGGTTCCCGGTGGAATTTTTTTATGAATTTGTTTGAGCATCTTCTTCATTAAGTCTAGTCTACGCATACCAAATTTCAGCTAAAAATTCAATCGGGAAGACAGTCAAATGATTTTCTGAAACATACTGCGTTGTTCAACTGCAAAGTTATCTTCAAACATTTATTTGACTGCCTTTCCGATTGCATTTTTAGCTGAAATTTGGTATGAGTAAACTAGATTTAATGAAGAAGATTCTCAAAAACATTCATCAAAAAATTCCACCGGGAACCACCCCAAATGGCGACGGCGGGACAGGGCCTCCTATAAAAGGGGTCATTTGCACTTTTTCGGTTAGTTCAAAGGCTTATTTGCCCCTTTTGCCTTTATAATATACTACTCTGTATATACTAAAAGCTCAATATTGACTAGAATATAATAAATATTTTGTTTTAGTCCATATTATAAAATTATTATATGCCCTTTGACGTGAGCAATTTCATATTATCGGAGCGCTTTTTGCCCAACGACACTTTCATATTATTCAGTGACCAATTCAGATTCATCACTTCAAAGTTGAGCTTGACAATAGTATGCTATTCAGACAATAGCCCATATAGTCTAAGACTTTGATGTATTTGAAAGTGGGAGATTAATAGGTGTCATTTGTGAATAAGTTATCATTGGAAACCTTTTCTATGTATCGATATTTTAAAGAGAGGGTGACATTCATATTAGGCCTGCATATGATTCTTGTGAAATAGACTATTGTTTGTGAAAATATAATTTGTCCTCACCCATATAGTATTGCAAAAGTAGCCTTAACAGGATGGATCTCATATGGGATAGGTGAATGGTCACCGTAAGGTGGGGTGAGCGTTTAAAAAGACTACATTGGGATTTTTAATGAGAAAATTGTCAAGATATGGCGTTTAATGAAAGATTTCAAAGTTGTGCTGGTATATGCTCTTTTTTCAACCATTCAAATGAAAAATAAGGTCAGTGGGGTGACATGAATTTATTATTAAAAATATGACCGTCCCAAAATTACGTACATTAATGATAAAAAACGCATGTAAAGATAAATGCCTATAAATAATCGAGTATTAAAGTGCAATTTGTTAACTTGGTACAAGGATAGAATGTGATAGATAAATAGGGGGGAAACTCAAAAGAGGCGGAGAAGTGTTTATTTCTAACAGTTGATGAAAGTGTGCATTAAGTCTTGTGGTTTGTTTGGATTGAGGTGAACTTTGGTGAAAATAATTGGATGGGCTTTATTTGGTACCTCATTTGTATTATTACACTAAGCTAAGAGCAGTAATGCACTCATATTATCAAAGTCATTCATTCATGTAGGTGACTTTGCTTTTCCTAACTTAGGTGATTTGTTTTGTTTACCATGATTTTGAGTGAATTTGATGATGGTTAAATTTCAGATGGAAGTGTGAGGTCTATGCTTGGGCCATTTGTGGAGCTGGTTAAAACATGGAATCTTCCAGAATGGGTCGTGCACTGGGGTCATCCCGGGAACATGGTACGACCAAAACTCCATTGATCAATTTCAGATTGGCAAAAAAAATTCAAGGCGGAATTTGCTGCTAATGCATGGTTCTTAATCTGTAGGCTGTTGTGCTCATCGCCATGGGTGGTTATGGCACTTACCTGGGTTTCCGAATCAGGTCTTCGAATGATGTGGTATGACAATTACATATTGGATGGGTTTCATTCATCTGTTATTGTTAATGCATTTGATCGAGATTTTGGATGGGTAGGAGGAAAGGGCCAAGGCCAAAGACTTGCATCCTAAACTCCTAGCTGGAATGTTCTTCTTCTTTGCTCTTGGAGCCACGGGAGGGATTATCTCTTTGCTCACTTCAGACAAGCCCATCCTTGAGAGGTACCTTAGCTTATTCCTGCCCCCCTCTCTCTCTCACTGCTCATTTCAATTCATCATCCTAATTAAGTGCCTGCCTCCATTTGCCATAGCCCTCATGCTGTCACTGCCTTTCTTGGCCTTGCTCTTCTCACCATTCAGACCCTATTACCAGCACTCTTTGAGGTAGGTAAACCTTTCACACCGTTTCAACATTTCTGCTGCATTTCCGTTTCCTTTTATGCTCCCTTTAACCAAACATCTTAGTCCCTTTCATGATGATGATGCTCAAATTTATGCCAACTCACGTCAACCTCTGCTCAGATTACAAGGTGGACTCAAGTGTCTAAAACTGAGTGTTTCTAATTTATAATTAAAGGATGATAAAGTCACACTTTTATTCACCCAATGTTTTGCATTACGTGGTTCCTTCTGGACTCGATACTAAAAAGTTGTAGTTGTACTCATTTAATAATCTCTCCGAAATTGATTTGCAAAGTCAACACTTTTTTGTCACTTTTTTGATAATTAATTCAATTTTTAATAATTAAAATTTACATATCTCCAAATTAGAGTACAACAACAATATCCAAGCCTTAATACCCAAAGATTCTGGGGTCGGATAATATAAATCGATCCGTGATATCGATGCCAAAAGAAGAAGAGAAAGAAGAAGAAGAAGAAGAAGAAGAAGAAAAAGAAAAGAAAAAAAAGTGAGATAAAACGGATAAGATAAAGATGAATAAATATAAAACAACAATAACATAAGAATATAAGAAAGAGAAAAGATAAAAATATAAAAGAGTATAAAAAGCTAGAAGATAAAAAAAACATAAGCACATAAAAAGATAAAGAAAATGAACGATAAGAGAAAAAGAGAGAGAAAAGATAGAAAAGAAATCAATCATCCACACGAATGTGCGCCCTCCACTTTGCTTTCTTCAAAGTCATACTCTCACCGAACCCAAGAAGACGCATATCAGTTCTGATTCAATTTTTGGAAGTTAACTGCGTTTTATATGTATATTCCGGCGCAGTTATCTTTCAAAAATCATACGCGGCCTTCCCGATTAAATTTTTAGCCGAACCTTTTTGTGGATAAACTAGACTTGATGAAGAACATGCCATAAATATTTCATCAAAAAAATTCACCGGGAAGGGTCCCAAACGCTGCTGTCTGGACGGCGGTTCCGGTCAGGATTTCCTGACCGGAAGAGTACTCTATAAAGTAATTGTTTAAACTATTAATAGAATCCTATTTGCATTTTGAAACACCTTTATACACCGAACGTAAGGTATAGGCAGACATTAAGGTATAATGTTTTTAAAAAATTCTTTCATGAAATCACAAAAATAGTGAACGTAAGGGGTATTGGAAAATTCAGAAAAAGCACCGGCGAGATTAACAGTTTCAACAAAAAATTGGTTTGTCGTAGTTTATAAACATGACTAAAAGTTTGAGTTACGTTATAAAAAAAATACCAAAACTTGGAAAAAAATTCCTTAATGTCCATTTTAATCGGTTCTATAATATAATTAGCCGTTTCTTTTTATAAAGAAGGAAAATATTTTTTAAATCTAATAAGTACAGCAATTAAATTTTTTACATTTGGATTAGTATATCCATAAACCTCCGTTCTACCTGCGGCCGTCTCCCTTGAATAAGGGTTCCGGTTTTTGCCGTCTTGTGTGCGACGGTTAGATTTAGTCGTCCTTTGGAGCGACGATTAGGTTAGCAGAGAAGGATTTATTCGCAGGAATATCGCTAGGCGTGCTGTGGCGGCCGAGGGAGAAGGAGTTGCGGGGGCCAAGGGAGGGAGAAAGGGAGGCGTCTAGAAGGGTTGAAATTGCGGGGCAGATGGAAGTTGCGCGCCAATGAATCAATCGAACAACGGGCGGGAGCTGTGCCTTGTTTGTGTCAACAATCATTGCGATGATCCGGCCTCCTCCTGAACCACTGCCAGGGGAATAGGGGATGAACGAGGTGCTAGGATTCAAGACACTTGTTTTGCTTATTTAGAATTTTTCTTGTTTCATCCTCCTCATATTAGTTTTTATTATTTTATCATTTGGTTTCTTGTTACCGTCTCTGTTGTTAGTTTTGTTAGTTTGTTTGGGATTTTAGCCTCCTTTTATGTCATTGGTATGTTTGCATCTGCGAGAACAGAGATGATTGTGTCAAGCCCGCTGCATGGTTAGCGATTCGTGTTGCTCTTTCAGATGTGACTAATAAGTCTGTATTACAACACACATTTGATGCGTGTTGGGATCGGCTTTTGATGTTTTTCTTAACTTTTAAGTGTCACAAGTCTCAATTTTAGCTCAAAATTATGTTTACCGGGCGTTGGTTCAAGTTTTGTGTTATTTGGAGTCAAAATCAAGAATTAGATTCTGGCACTGACACTTGAAAAGCAATCAGGATAAGTTGATGATGCATTCGATATAGAATTGAGAGCTTTGGAGGTCACCGGGAGGTTCACGATGAAGTTTTGATGACAAGAGAGCTCTAGGAGTGACTACGAGATCAAATGAAGAGGAATAGAGCTTGAAAACGGCGTTCAGTATGACCTATCAATCATTCAAGCATATCTTTTTGTAAAAACATCCAAATGACACGATACAAGTTCCATGTGAAAGCCAACTTCAAGTGCTACAAATCATATGAAGACACCATTGCAAGAATCCGAGAGGAGAAATGTGAAAACAGACGAAGAAGTCAGATAATCGTTGTTGCGATTTCAGAATGCGACCTTCCACCATTTTATTCATATCATTTGATGGGATGATCCAAACCAAGTTTTGCAAGTTATGGTGGATAGAGCATTGTCAAATTCGGAGAGGAAACAATGCTAGAGCCACTGCCAGTCACACACGCCATGCCTGCCCAGAAGGCATGTCGTGCCGTACTCGGGACGCGCGTTTTTGCTCCGCAGGCACGGTTGTGCCTGGCGTCGTGCCTGACCCCGGATCTCCTATTCCAGCTCGAATTTTACCCCTTTTCCCTATTTAAACAACTCGTAAACCCCTATTTTGAGGGGGAGCTTAGAGAGAGGCCCAGGGATGAATTTTAGAGAGCTTTTCAGCTTTGTTCTTCAATTCCTTGGGATTATTTGTAAGTTCCTAATTTTTAATTAATGACAATTAATTATATTCTCCCCAATTCTATTGATTCTTTAATTATGAGTTGTGAGTAGTCTTAATTAGGGATTTAGGGTTGATGAAGGGGTTAATCATGATGTATGGTTAAATTCATGATGGATTAATTGCATAAATGCATTTAATTTGTGTTTGAATGATTTATATCTTTTGTAACCTAGAACGACCGCTAGAATTACAATTGCTTGTACAATAAATTAAGAGATCTAATTTATTCTAGAACACCTTCACACACACTTAATCGTTTGCTAAGAGATTAGTAGCGATTAAGGGGCCGTAAGCTCGCTCGTCTTGACAATAATTTATGAACTTGTCGCATGAGAGATCAGCTTGGTCTCCTAAATAATTGTACTCTACGCCGCGAGAGCGGTATGTGAGAACATAGTAATGATTAGCTAGGCTCAATTAAATTAATTTCATGTGATTAAGCCTGATCAGCCAGAAATCTGATTACCCGGAATCAATCCATGTTTCCTATTGTCATTAATTAGAAAAAACTCATTAGTTTAATTTCTTTATTCGCATTAGTTAATTTCTCAAAACTTCCAATCTCGCACAATTGCATTTTATTTATTTCTTTTTATCGCTGAATTTAATTAATACTTAATTCCCTTTTATCGTCCCTGTGGAGACGATACTCGTACTTACGCCCTATACTGCTATATATTTTAAGTGCGAGAAAACTCACATCAGTGACTGTCTCCAAGTCTGATCATAGGGTTTACAGTCGTAGTTGTTGGAGTTTAGTTGGTGTCAGATTTGTTTTTCCTTTGATTGATGTAATGATCCTGAAACTTATGATATGAATAAATGCAAGTTTCTGTTCAAAAAAAAATAAGTACAACAATTAAGTTATACCGGAGCTCAGTTTCACGCAAAGTTTTGTTGATATAGTAAATGGGCTTTTGAGCTCTACTATCTTCTCGGATCAAAACCGAGCTTGCGGCCCCGTGGCTGACGCCAAGGTAAATGTGCATGCTTTCTCCTTCTTCTTGTTTTGAAAAGACCGGAGGGGAAATCAGATACTGCTTGAGGTCGTCAAAGGCTTGCTGGCACTCAGTTGTCCACTGAAATTTAGCGGACTTCCTCATGATTTGAAAGAATAACAGTGCTCGCTCATCCGATTTGGAGAGAAACCGGTTGAGGGCAACCGGTTTTCTTATGAGCCTTTGGACCTCTTTGATGGAGCGGGGAGGCTGCATCTGGATAATTGCCTGCACCTTTTCAATGTTGGGCCTGATTCTCTTTTGGTTTATCATGTAGCCGAGGAATTCCCTTTTCACTTCTTGGGGGTTCAACCATAGGTTGAACTTATCTATGATCTTGAAAATTTGCTCGAGATCCTTAGCATGTGGCTCGACATTTACCCCATCGACTTAGTTGGTTTGTCTACTTCGTTTTCAAAAAAACGTAAGCCTCCATGGTCTTGTCGAGGATGCTCCTAAAGATTCTGGCCACCATGTGAGTGTAGGTGGTGCCTAAATTTTTTAAGCCAAATGCCATGACCAGGTAGCAAAATATGCCTTCTGAGGTCCTGGAACCTGTCTTCTGAGTGTCGGACTCATGCATCAACATTTGGTGGTAGCCTCGAAAGGTATCCAGAAAGCTCATAAGCTCGCACCTTGCCGTCTCGTCGACGAGTTGATCAATGTTAGGCAGGGGAACAGATCCATGGGGCACCCCTTGTTGAGGTCAGTGTAGTCCACACACATGCGGAAAGTTGGCGGTTTTGGCGCTAGAATGAAGTTTGAGAGCCATTACGGGTATTCCACCAGGGCGATGTGATCTATGCTAAGGAGCATGGTCACCTCAGCCTTGACGAATTCCCGCCTCCGTGGACAGGTAGCGCTTGCGCTGTTTGACCTACATCACATGTGGATCCACACTGAGCATCTCATCGGGGCCCAATGCGAATATGACTTTGAATTTTATCAAGACAGTGATTATAGCTTGCCTTAATACCTGCTGCAGATTTGTCCTGATCTAGATTGCTCTCTCTGGACTGGCCTCGTCCAGGATCACTGTTTCCATTGCTCAACTGGCTCGACTTTGAGGTTTCTTCCTCTTTGAGTGCAGCTTGAGAGATGGTGTCGATCCTCAAATCTTGGGCACCCATCTTCTTGGTCATCTTCATGTCACACGAGTGTACTATCTTCTGGTTTCCTCTGCAGTAGCCGATCCCAAACTCGGTCTGAAACTTCATGTAGAGGTGCTTGAGGGATATGATCGCCTCAAGGTCTTCCAAAGTTGGCATGTCTAAACTAATGTTGTGGACGCACTCGAGGTGCACCACCACGAACTCCACCAGAACTTCTGAGTGATGGGAGCCATCCCCGAACTCAACAGTGAGCTCATTAGTGTGATCGGCATCTATGGAGTCCTTTGTGAATCCGGAGAAGGGAGTTCAGATGGGCCTCAGAGAGTTCAGGTAGAGGCCAAGCTCATGGAAGGTCTTCACGTACATGATGTTGAGAAAACAATTGATGTCAACATATGTTCGACGGATGATCACCTCATTCACCTCACATTTCACCACAAAAGCATCCATGTGAGGAGAAAGGAAGTCTGGCATATTGTGGTCGGTGAAAGAGATAACATCTTTGCAAAACATTATGTGATCATAAGGTGGGAATTATGGTATAATGTTTTACAAAGATAAGAAAATAACTTGGAATAACATGTCATAAATCGGTCAGGGACCAATGAATGAAGATGGGGTGCAAAGGTTAAATTATTCATGAATAATCAAAAGGTGGGACTATTGTAAGAAGACCGCTAAAAGGTTGGATTATTAGTTTACATTTTTCTTGAAGTTTTTTGGAACAAACAAAAAAAAGTTGGAAAAGTTGAGTGAGATGGAGGGGGTATAATTTAGGAGAAAATTTCCAATATAGGTATAAACATGTTTTGGAATTCCAAAATAGGACTACTATATTTGTTTTCCCGAAATAAGAGTATTTACTGTCATTTTCGACTTTTCACCGTCAAAATAGTTACAATATTCGACATTGACATGACAATATGTATTGTCATTAATGATAGTATTTTTCAGTCATTACAATAACAACTTCTATTTCGGAAAGAAAGACATGTAAATTAGTCCTATTTTGAAATTGAAAACATGTTTACTCCTATTTAAGACAATTTCCCTATAATTTAGTCATCGATTTACAATTACAGTATTAATTATCAATATTATTTCTCATAATCTTTATTTTTATAAAGTAAAAAATATGTGGCAGAGAAAGTATATTACCTCTATTCGGGTGGACTTTGCCAGCTTCAAAATATGTGAGAAATAATAAAAGTAAAAATTACGAGATTCAGGTTTGTCATAGGAGAAAAAAACAAGTTGATTCATTGTTTAAAATGAAAGCTATAAAGTTTTTTGGAAAAAACAAAAAAGAAAAGTTGGCAAAGTTGAATAAGACGGAGGCGTATAATTTAGGAGAAAATTCCCAATATAGGTGTAAACATGTTATCAATAAAATCCCTTTTCTTGATTAAAAAAAAAAGGTGTAAACATGTTTTGGAATTCCAAAATAGGACTACTATATTTGTTTTCCCGAAATAAATATAGTAATGATAGTATTTTTCAATCATTACAATAGCAACTCCTATTTCGTAAAGAAAGACATGTAAAGTAGTCCTATTTTGAAATTTGAAAACATGTTTACTCCTATTTAAGTCAATTTCCCTATAATTTAGTCATCGAATTACAATTATAGTATTAATTATCAATATTATTTCTTATAATCTTTATTTTTATAAAGGGATATTTCTCTAAATAGGAGTAAAATGTTTGTCAATTCCAAAACAGGAATGTCATATTTTTATTTCCTAAAAAAATAATTCTTGCCATGTTTTGACTGTACATGACTTTAAACGTGACAATATTTTTCAAACATGACAATAGTTACTCCTATTTATGGAATAAAAAATGATAGTCATATCTTGGAATATACAGACGTTTTTAGTCTTATTCATTGTGATTTCCCTTTTATATAAGAACAAGATGAAATCCAAAATTGTAATGAGGGCTTCTCATAAAACACCCATTACTATTAAAATAAACGATAAAGAATAACAATATATCTATGTGACAATTATAGTGTGTGATTTAAGCAAAAAACACGTCTTTGGAAACACTGCTTTAACTTTTTAAATAAAAAACGTTATTTTCTGTTGATAATATAAATTCACACAAATTAAGATCCCAACACTAAAAAGTAAATACCACAATCCATAGCAATGGAAGTAACATTTTCAATATAAAATACACGCAGTATGTGTGCGATGCACTGCGTATATCTTGACTTGAATTGTAACTTTTTTAAAATTATATTTTATAATGGTATGTAATATATAATTTTGCCAAATAAAAAGGCGATAAAGTTTATGTGTTATAACTTTTATTAATTATATACAAGTACATAGTAGTAGCTGTAAAAAGAAAGTAATTTTGGATCGCATTAAAAATTGCAAGTAACTTTAAAATAATAGATAAGGTGTATGTGACAATAACTTTATGTGACAATGAATTAACTTGATAGTATAATTAATGTGTCTCATAAAACTTTTTTTGATGTAAAAAAAAGTAAATTTGGTTCGCATTAAAAACTGCAAGTAACTTTAAAATAAAAGATAAGGTGTATGTGACAATGAATTAACTTGATAGTATAATTAGTGTATCTCATAAAACATTTTTATAGATACTCTCTATGTATTTTAAGGTTTGTTACACTTTCCTTTTTATGATGTATTTAAAAGTTTGCTACACTTTCCTTTTAAGTAAGTTGTCTCTTAAAAATACTAAAATTCCCTTACTTTTTTATACTATTGATCTTCTCTTTCATACATTAACACATTCGCTTACTTTTTCTACATTATTCATTACTCCTATTACTTTCCTCTTTAAATAATGTCCCAAAGTTTTCATTGCTGCAAACCGCTAATTACTACATGTGATAGCATATTGTCGATCACCGGTTTGTATGTCTTATGATGTTATGATTTAACAAAACATATACTATATATGTCAGAAAATACAGATAAAAAAGTCTCATGA